TAGCAATAAAGTGACAGATAGTCTACAGAGGGAACATGTACTTAAACACATTGCTGGAAATGACTGTAGGAGTTTTACTTTAGATTCCGAGTTATTGTTGCTTTGAGATATGTAGTCGTGTTCAGTGGATAAAACGCTATGAGGTCAATGGCCGTGAAAAGTCCTTCTGTCCCCGCAAGTGCTTCTCCCTCCCCCTCCCCGTCCTTCTCCTTCTCTTTCTCCTTTTCCTTCTCCTTCTTCTTTTTTGACAGAATCTTTCTCTGTCCCAGGCTGGAGTTTAGTGGCGTGATCTCGGCTCACTGCAACCTCCACCTCCTGGGTACAAGTGATTCTCCAGCCTCAGCCTCCTGAGTGGCTGGCATTACGGGCGCGTGGCACCACGCCCAGCTAATTTTTTGTATTTTTTAGTGACTGGGTTTCGCCACGTTGGGCAGGCTGGTCTCAAACTCTTGACCTCAGGTGATCTGCCCACTTCGGCCTCCCAGAGTGCTGGGATGACAGGCGTGAGGTACCATGTGGGGCCAAGTGTTTATTCTCATCCTCCCTGTTCAGGAATACCTGAAATCCCTTCATTGAGGTGTACAAAAGGCTTCTAAATTTCATGATAATAAGTATTGTTATTTTTGAAACAGAGTCTCACTCCGTGGCCCAGGCTGGAGTGCAATGGTGCAATCACAGCTCATCGTAGCCTCAACCGCCCAGGCTCAAGCGATCCTCCTGCCTCAGCCTCCCAAGTAGCTGGGACTACAGGTGCGCACCGCCACATCTGGCTAATTTTTCTATTTTTAGTAGAGATGCGGTTTCATCATGTTGGCCAGGCTGCCTGGCTGATGTTTTAACATTTTTGTAGATATGGGGTCTTGCTCTGTTGCCCAGGCTGATCTGGAACTCCAGGGCTCGAGCAATCTTCCCGCCTCAGCCTCCCAAAGGACTTGGATTACAGGCATGTGCTGCTGTGTCCAGCTCCAGCAGATCTTGATAAGAGAAGGGGGAGGGATCTCTCTCGAGGGCACTAGGGCTCCCAAGAGTCATAAACGGGGTGAGGAGAGGCAGAGAGGAGTCCAGAAGTCAAACTTCACCTACTTGATCCACCCACTGTGACGGCCCTGGAAAAAAACCTCCATGACAAATGCTGAATAAATATTATGACTGGCATCGCTAAAGCCAAAGCCAAGGCAAACAAAGCCCTTAAAATCCAACACAGAGCCGTTTAAAAGGAAATCAGAAAAATGCAGGGGTCAAGGGCGAGATAATTCTAGCAGCACCCAGAGAGGGACAGATACTGTTATTGGGGTCTCTCCTTGGACCCCATGGGCCTTGGGGACCCGGATCGTTCTATGGGGTGGGGCCATCCCGGGCACTGCAGGTTGCTGAGCAGTGTCCCTGGCCTCCACCCACCCCACGCCAGGGCCACCTCCCTTTTTTGTAACAACCATAGATGTCCCCAGACATCAACCAGTGTCCTGGGGACGGGGGCGTAAAATCACCCTGGGTGAGTTGTTGCCCTGGATTAGGGGATTCCATGGGCCCCCAAGAGACTGCATCCTGTGATCGTCTGCTCTGCTGAGGTCCCAGGAGGCTGCACACATTGAAATCCATGCCCTGAGTGGGGAGGGAGGAGGAGGTGAATCCCAGGAAATGGGGTCCCCCTGGTTTATACCCTCTGCCCCATTGGGAGTTTATTCTGGTGTCTGATGTGAGCAGGGATCCCACTCAATTTTTTTCCAAATAATTAATGCAGTCCTTCTCCCCCTGGACGCCGTGGCTGTGGGGTGGGATTGGTCTCTGGGGTGGGGCTGTCCTGGGCACTACAGGGTGCTAAACGGCATCTCTGACTTCCACCCACTCTATGCCAGGAGTACCTCACACTCATGACAACCACAAATGTCCCAGACATTGCACAGTGAGTGTCCTGAGCTTCAGCCTGGAAGGTTGAGGCTGCAGTGAGTTTTGATCACACCGCACTCCAGCCTGCCCTGGTGGAGGACAACTGCAGTAATATGAGTTAGTGTTAGATAAAAGAATCATATCGGGCATGGCATACGGTAGCCCCTTACTGAATTTTGGTTTCCTAAATACGTATGAGTGATCCATTGAAAAATAAAAACCAGGCCTGAGCCTCAGTTTTGTCAACTCTCCAGTGGGACCAAGAAGAGCTCATAGCAAGTCTCAAGGGACAAAGGTCACCCAGAGGCCAGGTATCTCCAGCCAGGGCTCTGCCTGGCCCGCTGGGACTGCTTAATCAATAGAGTAAATCATTACTGATCTACTGTTCCCCACATCTAGGAGGGGCACCCTGGAACCTGGGACCCCGTAACCTCATTCACTTTTATGGAGCATCTACAGGCCGGGTGTGGTGGCTCACGTCTGTAATCCCAGCACTTTGGGAGGCCAAGGAAGGTGGATCACTTGAGGTCAGGAGTTTGAGACCAGCCTGGCCAACATGGTGAAATCCCATCTCTACCAAAAATACAAAAATTAGCTGGGTGTGGTGGTGTGGGCCTGTAATCCCAGCTACTCGGGAGGCTGAGGCAGAAGAATCACCTGAACCCAGGAGGTGGAGGTTGCAGTGAGCCAAGATTGTGCTACTGCATTCCAGCCTGGGCAACAGAGCTAGACTCTGTCTCAAGAAAGAAAAGAAACAGAGAGGCCGGACGCGGTGGCTCAAGCCTGTAATCCCAGCACTTTGGGAGGCCGAGATGGGCAGATCACGAGGTCA